TCGTAATCGCTATCGCAAGATCTAAAATGACTTAACAGTTCTTTTTTCAGCTGATAATAGTTGAAATTCTTATCCTCCGCATGGTCCTCCATCACTTGCCAATACCACCTAGCAGCGCAACCCGATACCAAACAGTGAAAATCAGTGAAGAGCTGGTGATAAGAAAGTTCATATTGCTCTCTCATTTTTCCGATACGGAAAATGAAGCTTTCTACAGACATTTCTTTAGTGGTCCCATCAAATTTGATCCGCCATTTATCTAGGTCACAATTTTTTCGGGTCACCCTTTCGTCTTCTTCAAACAATATTGAGTCCCTTCTATGATCCCTTAGCCTAGTATTATTCGCTAAAAATTCAGAGTTCGCGTTTAACTCATCGCTTCCTACTACCGTCTTATTCACTCTATTTCTTTCTACGGAATTAACCCGCCCTTTCAATGAACCTAATTCACTTCTGATATCATGCATCCCACTCGCCAGAACTTGGGTTTGTTGCATCAACATGTGCATCATATCAACGAGTTCCCTTTGACTTTCTCGTTCCATTTTTCCAACATTTTTAACATTCTCTTCATTCAACCCATCATTCACACCATCATTCACACACGCCTCTCCTACCGCTATGACAGGTAACGCACCGCCTACTGCGCCTTCCTTTTCTACGTCTTCTTGATCCGCCATTAGTGAGAGTTTATTCAACTCTGATATGAACTCAGGGGACCTGATAATTGAGGCAATCGCGTTGCGGTTAACTGCTTGCGTCTCCTTTCTTTGGAACAAAATTCCTGCACACAAATTGATATCGCGTTCTGGCACACTATCCGTCGGCCTAATCACGCCTGTATCTATTTGAGTCAGAAGATACGACGCTGCGTCTCTTCCCAAAGCTCTCGCTACACTCCTAGTAAGTCGCTTATTTTCGTTCCTATTGCGTGTATTTGCTTCACCTGTAGGAGTAAACCACTCGCGATCGCTCTCCATGAATCAGAAACAGAATAAAACTGAACAAATTCGTGTAATTTGAATTGTAGCAAAATAGGAAATGTAACTAATTACTGTGGTCTATTTACCCAACTAATTCACCAAAAAAAAATTATACACTATCTCTATTAATTCAAACCGTTTATGAAGAAACAATTTCATAAGAAAAAAAAATTCCAGTAATAAGTAATATACCAGAGTCAAAAAGCGAAAGAGAATTAAAGAAAGATTTTGACTACTTCTCTTCTTAATTAAATGTAAAACTTAATAAATAAATAAATTATTTCCAAAAAAAAATATAATATATAAACAAAAATAAAAAATAGATAATTAGAGATAAGGGTTTAAAAAGAAAAAAAAAAAATCAACCACCATAAATAATAATGAATAATACTCAAAATTATTCAAACTAAACTTCAACCAAAATTTGGCATCAATAGGCAAAATCTTAATAAATACCAAAAGAAAAATAACTTCTAAAACAGGTTAAAGCTATTCAATTGGTATACTATACCTAAACGTAATCTAAATATAAAGTATTACTATTCAATTATATTTAAATGGGTTTTGTAATTTCTACAATATAATAATAATAATGATATAGATGACCTTTGGTGTATTCTCAGTGTTATTATCTCAGGGACAATGTTAAAAAAATAAAAATGAGTTGAGTCGCGTTTCTCTCGGTCTTTAGTCCCCCACATAAATTCTAAGAATTATTTGCTGCATTACAATTTGATGCAGTCTGAACTACTGCCAAAAGCTAACACAACTAAAATTCTACCCCCACCCATCACAAGCCGTTTCTGAAGCAAGCCTCACAATCACAGGACGTCCTTCTAAATGATCAGCAGCTTCAACTTCAGTCTTCATTCGTACTTTCTATCATTCACGCGCACATTCATATCACCTGCTGCTATACTGACTTTCACGTATAACGTTTCTGACAAACAGCTTCACGGCACCTCAGTATAGCTGCTGGTTTGCTTGTGATTTAAAAGAACAAAAAAACAAAAACTTAATCACCTCAAACATATCCTGTTCGAATGTATGTTGTAGCGATCAAGCCAAAACACAAACCTAACACTAATTCTGTCAATCCGTCATTCGTGTCCTGTCGATGGTCAGTCGTTCGTATTACGTTCTGTTCTTTCGTTAGTTCCGTTCGTTGGGCGCCATTTTGTTAGTTCAAAATCCTTTATATTCATGTGTGCAGAGTTAGAGTCTGGCACGGTGGCAAAGGCCAGCTAGCTCGTCAGAAAAGGGTTGGATTCTTTACTCCGCTATAGCACATCCGAACCGTAACA